AGTCGATCGTCGCCTTGGATAGATAAGCGCGTCTCAAGGGAAGAATGCTGATGATGTACAAAAAAGATCCGTATTTCAAGAATGACAAAGATTCGGCGGACATTGCATCGAAATATTTCAGCGACCTGATATCGTTTCGGCATATTATCGATAAATTTTAACGCGCGCGCGCTTCGTATTTTCTGTATCGTTTATGAATTCTACAATACTTCCGTCTGATTTTGTTGCCGAGCGCTATGTGTCTCTTTGTAGCGAAACATACGCGTTCCATCCTGATACGCTACGCTGCACATTTGGCTGCATATATTCTACTTTGTGCAGAAATACGATGCAATTTTATCATCTCTCTTGGCATATCTACGGCGTACTTATATATTTATCTTTGAGCAATTGTCGTCCGGCAGTTTGTCTTGACGTGCACTCGGTAAAAAGCAACAATGGTGTAAGAAAATATAAAGGGGCCGAGAAATTAAATCATTTTTAAATTACTCGGATGTTCTTGATCCTGTTGGTTGTATCTACTGCAATTTGCGACTGCCATCATATTTCCGACACCTCTTTTTAATGATATATATAATGATATATATACATACCTATATACATATACATATAATATAACGCCAACAATTCTTCGATCCTGCAATTTAATTTTTTTTTTTGTATTTATATTCCATCAAAATACAAGCGAGTTCCATCCTATATAAAATAACGTGATCTCCCGCGCGAGTTGCCTCCTCTCTCTCTTATTAGCTTATTTATTGAAACATCTGGCGTACCTCTGATATCGATATAATTTATGATTCTCGACTGTGTGTGTGCGTGTAATGTAATAGCTCTGACATAATAGCTTTCTATAATCATAAAGAATTATATATAGCAAATATTTTCGTTGTAAAGGCCAAGATTTTGTCGTAAAAACTAATTAATCTAATGCCAGCGATTAGCGCGGAATACAACCCATCCAAAATAGGCGTTCAAAAGGAAGTTAGTTCCTCTATGCTTGGCTAGTAATATTTACTCGGCAGAAAGAATTCATTAGGACTCGCGAAATAATCCTTGATCTATTATCGTCCCTTGCAGATGCGAATGATCGTGGACGTAATATTCATTGTGGCGCGGAATGTCTGTAACAACGTTACAAGTCACATAGGCATTTGCTTTTACAGCAACATAATTCATAAAAATACTCCTTCAACCGGTATATGACAACGCTTTTATATATCCTTGTAAAGTGGTGCCATTTTCGCTGCTTTTATATGACGACCACTTGACGACAAAGGGTTAAAAGGCGCGTGACTATTACGGGTTTAGCGATCTGGAAATCAACCGCCCTCGCTTTTTCTCGCGTCATAATCATTCATAGTGAGCTTATTTTTTTGTGCGCGATTAGGACAGTAATAAAAAAAAAAAGAATGCAATTTAAATGTTTTTTTAATTCTCAGATACGATATCTTTTTTTTGCTTTTAGCTCATGCATATCAAAAAATTAATACTTATTTCATAAAATTTATATATAATATAAACAATTTATGAAATTATTAAGACTCTCAACTAAAAATCACAAGTTTAAATAATCGCGGGCTAGTAAGAGCCCCATACTACCGATACTTCTCATTTGCCTTATATATAAATATCTATTACGAATAACGTTGGCTCTTACTAGCCCGCGATTATTTAAACTTGTGATATAACATAAAATTTTGTAAAGATAAATAATCTTAAATCATAAAACTAAATAATGTAGCTATTATTAACAACAATATTCAATTTAACTTCTTCCGGGACGGATTTATTGAAATCAAAAAAAAATTATTTACCCTTTTTTCACACATAATTATATTTTTCCAACAATATTTATAATTATTAAACAAAACAAGAAGAAATTGAAAAATGTGTGAAATCTCTGAAAAAAATATTGCACATATATGGCCATTGTGCGTTAAGATTAACTATCCGTGAAACGATTTCGTATATTAAATCTTAATGTGCACATATATGTAAATGATTTAAAAAAATTAAGATATTAAAAGAGATTAAAATATTAAAGATTGGATAATACCAAATGATAAATTAAATCAATAAATACAAAGTTTTATCCGCCGATTGCAAACATAAAGTTAAAACAGGGAAAAGAATCCACGAGTACACTTGAGAAGAAAAGAACAGATAACAGATTTTTAAAAACAGGTACTAGTTTAATCGGTTCTACGATCTTTTCGTCACTTTATAACGACAATGATTCTCCCGTCATGCTGCTCATCCGCGACATATTTCCGAAGTTGGGGAGTGATCGAACTTTTTCCCTTCGCAAGATTACTCGACTCGCGTTAACAGGTTTTTCGAGTTTCGCGACACGAACATTTCCGAAACAATATTACTTGTTAAGTGCTATACTAAACTCGCGCAACTTCTAATGGACGTCGTTGGGAGCGTTGCAAAGTTTTCTCGAAGGGAAAACGGGGTGAAAAGGGTGGGGGTATGTTTCCGCGGAAAAGGAAAACCGGAGTCCAAAAGATAAGAGAGAAAGTTTCGGCGCCGCCGCATATCCAGTACGCCGCAGATCCACTACGAAGAAATGCTCTAAAGAAGCATCGCTCGTTATTAGCGTAATCTTTGACTCTTTAAAGCTTCGCCGAAAAGCACTTGCATTTTACGTGATGCGATTTGCCTATTCTCGACGTAAGTGTAAGCGTTATGTTTATTAACATTTTCTACGTGGCACGTTACATATCTGCTCATCATAACCAGTGAATAATCTTTCGTGTACGGTGAAAAAAAATGGTCCCTCTTATATTTCGCAAATTGAATATTCTCAAGATGCATCATATTTTCGGTATTACAACGCTTGAAGAAAATCTTGCAAGAAACACAATCCAATTATAATCCGGCCTACTTACTTTGAATATACCTTTAAGTTTATTTAAGGTTGCAAACAGAGGAGAAACTGCCAGTAATTTTTTACTCTGCATAAGTTATTATTGTCATAATCCTTTGCCTTCTGCTTGAAATAAGATTAATATTCTCTTTGTAACTTGGATCTATAGCATCTCTCTCCACCTAGCACATCTAATTGTTCCTATTATTCTCCTCCGTAGGATGAAAATAATTACGAGTCTGCTCCGGACAAAAACCGGAGCTGAGGTATTCGGCATTC